GAAACCGGGTGATACTTGAGTGACCGTTAGTGCAATTTTGTAACTTGAGGGACCGTTTTGTTATTTTGATGTAACTTGAGTGACCATTTGTGAAAATAACCCTTATCGAAATTGAAACTTTAAAAAAAAAAAGGGTGTGGGAGTAATTTTCACCGGTTGTGATACTGAATATTTTACCCTTCCATCCCTATATTTTCCCCTTATCGGCAATCAACTCCTAGAAATTTCATTTTCCGGTGTGGGAGTAATTTTCACCGGTTGTGATGCTGAATATTTTACTCTTCCATCCCTATATTTTCCCCTTATCGGCAATCAACTCCTAGAAATTTCATTTTCCACATCACTTTTTCCTCTCCCTTCCACTTTTATCCTTCACAGCTTCAGTAAACTGCCCCAATATTCTCTCACACTGTAAAAATGGCTGCTGCAAATTCAATTCCACTAGAACTCCGGCCTCTGGGTAACACGGGTCTGAAGCTCAGCTCTGTGGGATTCGGCGCCTCCCCTCTAGGCAATGTCTTCGGGCCCGTCTCCGAATCTGACGCAATTGCCACCGTCCGCCAAGCATTCCGCCTCGGAATCAACTTCTTCGACACCTCCCCGTAACAAATTCTCTCCCCTTTGTTTTTCTTCTATTTTGCGACTGTCAGTTTTGCTGAATTGAGTCGTGGCACCTTAAGCTTGGGCGATGTGCCCATTTATTTCTATTGTCAATATCCATTTGTTAATTACCCGGTTTTCTTTTATTAGGTGGGGGTATCTACTATTGATCTTGAAAGGGGACTTATCACTTTGTCATTGTTTTATTTTCTATTTTAAGTTGATTCTTGTTGGCTTTTTAAAATTCTGGGTCTCTTGATTTGTGATCTTCGTTGCTGATTTTGATGTGACTGCTCGTGGAATATTTGAATGCTTCTAAGTGTTTTTAGTTTTGGGCTCTTGATTTTTGTTTTGTGAGTTGGATTTAGGTACTATGGAGGAACATTATCGGAAAAAGTACTAGGGATTGCATTGAAAGCTTTGGAAGTGCCTAGGAATGAGTACATCGTGGCTACAAAGTGTGGAAGGTACATGGATGGTTTTGATTTCAGTGCTGAGAGAGTGACAAGGAGCATTGATGAGAGCTTGGAAAGGTTGCAGCTTGATTACGTCGATATCTTGCAATGTCATGATATAGAATTCGGTTCACTTGATCAGGTCCTTGCAATCTTCCTTCAATTTCAGTTTCCTTTCTAAACAAACTCAGTATCTTTAGCAGATATATTCACATTCGATTTCAAAAGTTAGTTGCAATCTTGGTCATCCTTACAGTGGATAAAATTGTTGTCATAGCTTTCTGTTCCTTTTATCTCTTTATTTTGGCTGAAAAAATGCTGTATTTTACTTTTAAGTTTGGGCTCTTATCTGATAAGTGAGGAAATTTATGCTACTGTGTTTGGAGTTCTCATCCTGGCAATACATGCCATCTTGTATATACTTTTGGAAGGATTTGTTTTACACAACACTAAATAGGCTTCTTCGATTACTACTCAGTCTTTCAAATGCAATCTCATTGTGTCTGCTTTACGTTGTGGTTTAGCTTCCCCCAGTCACATATGTAAATAACTCTTATTGCTTGGCTTCCTAGAAATCCATCTCGATATTTTCTGTGTCAGGATTATGATCTGAAATCAAATTCAATGTTCTTAAGACCATTTTATTCTTGAATCCCAGTTCCATTTTGTTTTAATAAAACTCGTTCCAAGTAATGTGACATCTGATTTTTGTTTGCCATTAAAGAAACTTAATGATCTACTGATGGTAAAGTGAGTGGTTTTGTCTGGTTCAGATTGTGAATGAGACAATTCCTGCACTTCTCAAACTAAAGGAAGCAGGGAAGATCAGGTTCATTGGTATAACTGGGCTTCCATTGGAAATTTTCACTTATGTGTTGGATAGGGTGCCACCACGAACGGTTGATGTAGTCCTGTCATATTGTCACTATGGTATCAACGATTCAACATTGGAGGATCTATTGCCTTACTTGAAGAGCAAGGGTGTTGGTGTAATCAGTGCTTCCCCACTATCAATGGGCCTTCTTACAGAAAATGGCCCTCCGGAGTGGCACCCTGCTTCCCCAGAGCTCAAGGTGTTTGTGTGTTCTACTTGAATATAATTCTTACACCTTTGGCTTATTAAATTTCATTGCTAGATGCCTGCATTACACACCATGTTTAGCTAAGCTTAAAAATAAGTAAAAGTTACTTTCATACTTGCAAAGGTGTTTGGATTAGCAACTCTTACATTACCGGCAAAATAAAGTGAACTACTATTAAAACTACATTACATATAAAAGTTAATTTTTTAAGCTAAGCCAATCATGCTCATAATGATGTTTTCCAATCAACATTTTTTGTGTTAAGGGATTCAGGCCCAATGGTAGCTTTGATTGTCCTGTGTAGTACTTAGTAGTAAACAGAAGAACAGTTCACTTGATATTTGTTTATCTACCTGCATCTATGCACAGCTTCTAGATTGCAATCACGTGATGGATAAACGTTTCTAATATATTTTGCCCAAATAGCGTTCTCTTTTAACATTTTTTGTAAATTCTTTAGTTTCCTGTCCCATATCTGTAATCTGTAGAGTGGACTATATACATCTAGGATAACTTAGGATGCGTTTGATTGCCAATATTTTTCATGGAAAATGTGTTTTTTCCACCCAAAATCATACTTTTGTGCTATTTGATTGATATTTTTTTCTATGGAAAATATTTTCTTACTTTTGGTCACGTGACCATATTTTCCTCAAAATCAAGGAAAATATTTTCTTTAGGGGGAGTAGGATTTTATTTTCTAGGAAATTCACTCTCACTTTCTCTCTCTTACCTTCCCCTCTCTTTCATCTATCCACCAATAAAAAATTGACAAGTATAATATTTTCTAGGTTGAAAATTAAATCAATCAAACATATTTAATTAATAATTTTCATATAAATAAATTCTAGACAATTGAATTGTCTCGAATTTATCAATTGTCTAGAATTTATTTTATTTTCATGCAAATTCCATGTACGCAATCAAACGCGCTCTTAATGCTTCCTACATCCCCTTGACATGTTTTTCCTCAGGCTGCATGCAAAGCTGCTGCTGCTTATTGCAAAGAGAAGGGAAGAAACATATCGAAGTTAGCCATGCAATATAGCTTATCGAATAAAGACATCTCTACAATTTTGGTCGGGATGAACTCTATCCAACAGGTCAATGTTTTTCCATTTCCATCGATATCCAAATGTCTCTGATATACTCTATTTCATTTTTACCATGTTTACTATAGAAAATAGTAAACCAAATAGCTTTCCAGACTCCTTTTATTTGCATTAATTACGAAATAATTAAAAATTGCTTCTATTATATTGAGATGGAAAGAATTCGATGCAAGAATAAGTTTCACAATTGAAGAAAGAATGGTATCAATAAAAAACAGATTTTAAGATCCAAATTTGATCATCCTGCACTTTCCTTTCACTCATTTTCCATAAGAGGTCAATTTGAGGGTGATTTTGTAGGTGTGTGATTAGTTGTTTGTTGCAATTTTAACATATTCGAAGTATCCCTCAGATTTTAAATGATATGATTTGCTATTGTAAGCATATGGTAACTTGGAGCATGGAGGCTCATAATCAAGTTGTGCGAGGTTGGGAACAAGAAATCAGTAGCAGTTTCACTATTTTATCTTTTTAATCTTTGACCAGTTGGCCTGAAATTTATGTTGCATATTGTTTGCGATCTTTTGATCATCAATTATAATCAACAAGAATTTTAAGTGATTAACCTATCCAATGGCATTCTAGTCCATTTGAAGCAAATTATCGATACCTGCTTTTGTCTTCCTTTTCACGTTCCATGAAATTAGGCATACTCATATTTGATTATAGGTAACCTTCTTCTTAAATCCCTGTTCAACATTTCTTGAATGTTTATTGAAATCGATCAAATTTTGGCTTACCCTTTTTGACAACCAGGTCGATGAAAACGTAGCTGCTGCAGTAGAACTTGCTACTATTGGAAAGGACGAGAAAACTCTATCAGAGATTGATGATATTTTAAAACCAGTGAAGACTCAGACATGGCCTAGTGGCATTCAGCAAAGTTGACAATGTTATCCTTTTAGTGCATGTTTGTCTACGGAGGACCGTATAGCGCGAAATTAAATTCTTGTTCATGATACTCTCCAGTATTATACCAAACATTCACGTTTATTGTACTGCTGAAAAAGTGTATTGTTGTATGCTTCTTTTTTATTCATACGGGCTTCTGATGTCTGTATGGTTCCATTTGTTCTTGTACTCTTTGTAATAAATTGGCATAGACGTTAAAACATATTTTTCCTGTTATAGTGTCTAAATTTTTGTTTCTATTTGAGTGAATGTACGTGCCTGAAAGTGTTCAAGGGTGTGATGATACTGTCCATCTAGACAAATATATCCATAACTATGGCATTTGTCCATATGCAAATATCTGTCACTAAATACCAGGCTTGCTTGATACAAATTCTTTATAACTCAGTTACATATTCTTTCATTAAAATAATTTTTCACGTAAATTTGTAACTTTTTTCCTATCTTTTAGCCCCTGTTTGGCTTGGATAAATAAAATTTATAGGATTTTGATAAAATTTTGTGAAATGTGTTATATATGTGATCGAAAAGTTGATAAAAGTTATGATTCAAAAAATATGTGGTTGAAATGAATTTTAAGAAATAAGATTCAATTAGGGACTTATATACATTTTTAAAAAAATCACTTTTCAAAAAGTTTATTCTAAAAGATTCTATATCAAAGATACCCCATATTCATAAATTAATTATATCCATAATAATGTAATGCAATGTAATTAACTTATAAGAACAAATTTCACCAGTTGTAACACGGGCACAATGTAGGTAAATTTTAAACTCGATTTTTCAAATTATTGTCTCTTACAAGCAAAAAAAAAAAAGAGCTTGTTGTTCGTATTTATTTATTTCTGAAAGTAATTGCTTTTTTCTACATTTTAACAGAAAAATTTCCACGGGAAATATCTGTCCAAACAGCTCTTTTATGGACAAGGAAGCGGAAAAAACCTGCAGCACTCCCCTTTTGGAGTCTCGTGTGGGCTGTGGTTTAACTTGAACCGCAAAAGGAACATTCCGAGCAAACGAAAATGGCGGCCACAAGAGTTATAGCTAACTCTATCACCACCACTTTACTCTCCAAGTGCCCATTGAGGGTGAAAACTCGAACCTTAAGCCTTTGCTTTTAAAAACAGCTCATTGTTGGTGTAGAGAAGGCGGCTGTTCACTTGCAGTGCCATCTACAATCCCCAATTCCAAATCAAGGAACAAGGACAGCCTGAAACCGTCGATTATCGTGTCTTCTTTCTTTATAATTCTGGCAAAAAGGTCAATTCATAGTCTGTCTATCTCTTCATATGATTGTTTTCATGGAAAATGTTGTTTTTCTAATTTTACAATTCCTCTCATTTAAAAGATGCTATAATTATGGGTTTTCCGTGTAAATTAAGGTCTTCAAGTATGAATGGTGGACTAGTTTTAGGCAAATGATGGGGGGATTTGGGGAGAGAGAGAGTCTATTGTGGTACAGTGGTAGCATGGATAAATGTAGCACGTATATGTCAAATGCATGTTTGGTTAAGCTTAAATCCTAACACATATAAAAGAGGCAGAATTGCTGACGTCATCGTCGACCAAAACGACGTCGTTTTGGTGGTTTTCCGCGTTTGCCAATACGACGTCGTTTTACGTCTACCGCCTTTGCCAATACGACGTCGTTTCATTGTCTGTTGTGTTTGTCTGTTTAAAAGAAAAAAAATATGTCTGTGGTAGAAGCTTCTCGTCTTTCTCGTCTTATCCATTTGAGTGCGATAGTGTGATTCTCTATTCTGCTATTACT